TTTGTTTGGAGGCGAAAAAGGTGAGTTAACAGAGTTTTATGAAAAAGTGAGTTTTCTAAGTGAAAAGGCAAAATATGAAGTTTAAAAAACTCTCTTAACTCACCTTTTTCGCCTCCAAACAAAAAAGTGACATCACCATGATGACCAGCGCACTCGAATACCTACACTTTTTACCACTAAAAACTCGAATTTCGGGAAAAGTGAGCCATTTTTACAACGCTTGTATCTCTTCTAGCTCTTTTGGTTAAAAGGTATTCAAAAGATATCGGCGGACACTAAATTTTGGCGGCGATAGTAACAATCTTTACTTAGAATAAAGTAGCGAAGTTGTATACGCTATTTCTATGTCACTGGTAACAACTAACAAATTTCAATCAAGTGATTAGACAGTCTTGCTTTTATAGTTGACTTTTCGGTTAGATTTCAGAAAGTACTCTTTTTCTTTGCAGAGCAAGACTCGAGCTTTTGTGCTATTCTATTTGAGTAGTTTTGTGTGAGAGAATATTGTTAGAAAGAAATGCTTAGAATTAAATAATGAGAATAGCTTTAGAAAAAAATTGACTAATTTCAAAACAAAATGCCGAAGAATATTTGCTTATCAATATAATCCACATACACATTGTATTGTAATGGTAATCCACATGTAGCTCGATATTTACTAAGTAGACGATTTTCTAGATCAATTGATGTTTGTCCAATTATGTCATCACTTGTTATTAAATCCCAATCTTTGATGCGGATAATTAAATCTTTTGCTGCTGGTTCATCTTCCAAAACTAATACCGAAATTCATTTCGATATTTTTCGAATAATTTTCGAAATATAAAATCTTTTTTAAAAGCTCTTTTTTCATATCCCGACGCTTTTATTAACTAACTGTCTTCTGAAGAGCACTTTGTCGTGCCGAATACTAGTCAGTCTCACAACATAAAAAAGAAAACAAAACAAATGTCTATGTATCCCCTATTTTTGATCATCTCGAAAGTCACTCGTCCCGCGTCTGTTCGGTCCGCATTGATACTGAACTTTTGTTTTTCTGTAAATGAAAAAACATACACTTTCTCTTGCTAATAAACAACAGCAAACCTATTTTAGCACTTAGAATTCTAAAGACAGTTTTATAAATGCGCTAAAAGGCTTTCTCCAGAATGGACAATCAGGAGTAGTGTTGATCTGTCGATGAGTTTTTACTCTACATCAGATTATGAACGCTCGAAAACAGAATATTTTTAATGAGAAAAATAGCGGATTCATTGAGGCATAGACACTGCATAACATGATCTCTATATATAGATGGACAGTATTCGAAAAAATAACAAAACAGTATAAAAAAGGAATTTCTTCCTGTGAGTAGTGAGTTTCAAAATCGTAAAAAGTTTGTAAGATTCCTTCTAAATCCTTACTTTTTAACCAGTATGGGTCTACTCGCAATGTTCAAAAACTGACAACGATTTCGACAAGGTTTATGTTAGCCATTGTCAATCTGGCCTATACTAACTTTCTCACGCAAAAATACATCTATCCAGTTTGATTTATCGGATTTTCAATAGTAATCTGAATTTCTCTCTATGTTAAGCTCTGGTCCTAATCGATGGCGTGATAGTATTCTTCCCAGAAAAATTCTATTTGATGTTTGTAAACGTAATAATTTGCCAGCGCCAGTAATAACAGGCGAAGATACCATGAAAATCGGTGACAATATATTCCATCTTGCCGATTTTGGTATGTGATCTATTATTTTATTCTTACCTGTAGCTAAGAAATTGAGTCTGTTTTTTAAAATAGAACATGGCAAACATTTGTCAGTTCATGTTGGTATTCCTATCGAACGTTTAGCTTTATATGTTTTACACAAATTACGTTTATGTCCGGAACACGTTGAAACTCGACCGCTCTATAATCTGTTGCAACCAGAAATCGAACAAGGACGTTTGGAATTATTTGTTGATGTATTTCCAAAATCGCAAGGACCACCCGGTTTACCACTTGTAATACAGCCAAGACAGCCAAAACCGTAAGTATAGAAATCAACTCCGCTATCATCGTTCTGAGTTAATCATTTATCGATCAATAACCATATGTTTTATAGCGTTATTGGGAATATATCTTTTAAATTGTCTTCTCTGCGCAATGACATAATTAATGTTTTTATTCAGTAGGGTCTGATTTTCACAATTATGATTTTTGGAAAAAAATTGATGATTTATTGAGAAAGATCATTAGATATTCAGACCGATCTCCAAAAGTAAAGAAAACAAATAGCCATATAATCATGGCGAAAGAAAAGCGGAAAAGCTTGCTTTTCTACCATATATTCAAAATGTGTATTTTTCTGAGAAGGTAGAAAAGCATAAAAGCTTGGTTTTTAAAATATGCATTCTTCTGGAAATGGGAAAAGGGGAGGGCGGGAAAATGCGAGTAAGCCTCTCCTTGATATTCGCCACCATGAAAGAAACAGGAAGATACCCGAAGATCTGAACATACATTTGAAGAACTGAAGATCTTAACATCTGAATATCTGAACATCTAGATACTATGTAATTGCAGATGTTCACAAATCAGACCAGCCTCTTTTTACTCCGATGCAATTCAAAACAGAATGCAGCCTGTGCCAGTGGCAGCAACTTTTGATACGTTGCTATCTATAGTGCTATTTTTACACTTGCCGGCATATAGTCACATAAATCAGCTGGAATAGAATATATTATGAAATTATTTGAGATCAATGGTCTAGATAGCTTTGTTCTTCACACGTACTATTTACCCATATGAAAAGCAGATACGTTGCTATTTAAGCTTTAGGGTTTTTCAAAGACACTCTTGAAACGCATCATTCAGAAGAGACTATTGACCTTACCTTTTTGTATAAAGATTAAAGAATGAAGAACATGGTAAACGACTATCAATCACATATCAAGAAGTTGTTCAAACTATCAAAGAGTGCATTCTATTTTGAAAATATAGTCTGATCTTTAAAAACCCTTTGTAGAAGTGACCTCGAAAACCGAAGGATATTTTTGAATACAGAAGTTTCCAAGAATTTGGAAACCCCTACGGTTTTGGAGAAAAATGTTTCAAAACTGTGAAGAGTATCCTCCAAAACTGAAGTAGTATTATCCGAAACCGTTTTCCAGACTTCAAATTCCTTCGAAAATCAAAAGGATATCTAATATATCATTTACCGTTCCAAAACGCTTCTGTTTTGCTATGCTTTGCGTTTCAGAAATTTTTGTTTTTATTTTTTTCATCCATGGTGCGAAGTACACCTACATCACAAAAAGCAGACCGTTAGAGTATGAACAGTTTGCTTCCAGTAAAAAGCTTGAGTAGAAAACAAAAAAGGGTTTAGAAGAGCTCGGAAACGAATAAGCATTTCATACAATTTTATTTTCGGTAATCCATTCATGCTAGAATACGTTTCTTTTTTAGGTAGTAGGAGGCTGCCATTTAGCATCTCTGCTGCCACGATTCAAATTTAGCACTATTCTTTCTGATTCGAAAAGAGAGTCTTTTTTAATAGTTGTCTCTAGTTTTTAGAAGCAAAGGGTCTGTGAATCTCACGCGTTTAGTTGTGGTTTTTTTTTCAATAGAACAATTCCTGTAAAAGTTTCCGTATTCGCTTTCGTTCACAATTATAATCTTTTGATCGTAGCAAAGTATGCTGCTTATGAGAGACCTGATGTGTATGTGTGTAATCTAACTGGAAACTCCCCCTCTCCCTATAACTGAAAATAATGTTTTTCCACCAGCCAAAATACCAGAAAAAATATTTTTATAGAAAAAGCTCGTGCAACGACCAATTTTCACTAGATCACCCCAACAAATTTTTTTTGGAAAGCCAGTTTAATTTTAGAAAATCGTTATAAAGATTTCGCTCCCTCTCCCGCCAATCCTGAGTGTCTCGCACCAGCTCTGTGAGAGACAACGTTTTTTTGTGTGATGATATGGAGTATCTAACAAGTAAACAATTTAAATTGATTGAGAAGAGCGCGAAATATAACTAATTTTAGTTATTACAATACGAAGATGAAAATAGAGCTAAAAAGATCTTTTTATTTTTCAGTTTTGTATTACGTTGTATTATTTGGAATACAAGTGACGTTATTTTACAAGATGTATCAATAATGGGTGAAAAGATGTCTGATATTTATGTGAAAGGATGGCTAAGTGGATTAGAAGAGGATACACAAAAAACTGATATACATTATAGGTAAGTATATTCGACTTTATAAACGTATTCGTCCTATTATTATTATTATTAGATCATTGGACGGTTCCGGAAATTTTAATTGGCGCTTTGTTTTTAATTTTGAATATATTCCTACCGAGCGCTCTATTGCAATAAGGAAAAAGGTGCGTACATCTAAATTCACCACACCAAGTACCGTTATTTTCCAGTATGAACATATTTTAGGAACATTACTGGAGTATTGACACAACTGAAACAAAGCAGCAACCAGTATTAAACTTACAAATATGGGATAACGATAAATTTAGTGCTGATGATTTTTTGGGTAATAATTTAATCAATTTATACTTCTTTTCTATGATAATTATCTGTATATATTATAGGTTTCCTTATGCTTGATTTAAATCGGCTAACTAAACCGGCTAAAGATGCTGACTATTGTAAACTGAGTATCTTAGATCATCACAAAAACAGCACAGCTAATTTATTTGAAATGAAACGCGTAAAAGGTTGGTGGCCTTGTATCGATGTAGACGAACATGGTGAACAAATACTAACAGTAAGAAAATCGTACATAAACTATCATCATCTGAGAGAATATCAGAGAAAAAAAAAGGTTTAATTTGAATGGATACTGTAGAGAAGAAAATCATCAGCATAAACCTGTGTTTTAATCAAGTAAAACTTTTATATAACGGATAATATCCACTATTTTAGTCAAAAAAATCCACAAAATCCTTTATCTCAATTATTTGCTAGCGGCCGGACAAGTATGACCCTATACTTCTTAAAAATTGTATCTCATTTTAAATATTGAATTAAATGAGCACAATTATCAAATATATAGAGTATTGAAAAAAATCAATGACAGTTCAGTGATTGGCCTCTGAATCAAAACAATGTCTTGATAATGTATAATGGTTTTTGTAGATTATTTCTTGCCATAAATATGACGCACATAAAGTGCGTATCAAAACTACTCAACAATCTTCAATTTTGATTGATTTCTTTAATTGTGATATCTAGAAGAAATCAAAATAGTGATTTGGAAAATCAAATCTTTCATTGATAGTTTTGTTACCCGAGAATAGACAGATATAATATGAGGCAGATGCCGATCGAAAATTTCTGTTTTGCGTTCATATTAGCTCCAGTTGAAAAAGGAAATCTGGAAACCATCCCCATGAAAAAAGAGCTGTGTGATAAAGGCTTCAAAACAATATTATATTACAGCAAGATTCATATCCCATTGCTGCGTTCGTTCTCCTCCCATACGTGTATCATTGCTGTACTCTGATGAAGAATTGTATTGAAAAACTGGAAACCGTTTTGGAAACGTTTTGTTTTATGTGAAAATGTTTGTTCTATTCGACAATGTTGTTTGTAAAAAGTTTCCAAATGAACCATTGGCTTGGCTCTCTCTAAAGTTTTGGTATATAGACCATATAAAGTTCGGTATCTTAGATCGGAATTTTAGTACATTTGATAGAGTTTTCATGCATAGTCCAAATGAACCATTGAAAACTCATTCAATCGTTCAAATCACTGTTCGGATCTCTTCTAGTTGAAGTAAAAAAAAGCTTGTTTGCCTAGTGGACATAACTTTGAAAATTTTCTTTCTAAATATCCATATGGTATAATGAATATAGTAAATGAAAACATAGTGGTGCTTTTAGAAGACGAACGAGAAAATCCACCCTGTTTCAGTTCTATATTCGAGAAATCTTTTAAAACGATGTGCTTTTTTTCGTTCTGTTTTTACAAACATAGAAAGAAAAAACTCGACTCTCGTCTGCACTGTCATTCAGCCGCCTGTAAGGGAAATAGGTAACAGAAAATGCAAAAACAGCCAGCCATTTTGCTCCAAAATCCGGCCTAAAGTTACGACTTCGTTTTTCCTTCTGACTAAGGAAAGTCGAAACGTTTTCACAAAATCAATAGAAAAGTTTGCTAAATAATTTGAAATTAATCTGGTTGAAGTAATTATATTTTGGTGAATATTTCTAGGGCAAAGTGGAATTAGAACTTGAAGTAGTAACAGAAGAAGAAGCCCAAGCACGACCGGCTGGCAAAGCACGTGGAGAGCCCAATGAAAATCCCACTTTGCAACCACCAAAGTAAGAATGAACGAATATCACAATCAACAGCATAACATTTCTTATTTTAGACGTCCCGAAACTTCATTTGATTTCATTTCATCACCATGGAAAACATGGAAGCATGTCATCTGGAAAAAATCAAAATGGTATACAATTGCTGTTCTCTGTATTGTGATTGTTATCTTATTTATATTGATATCACTCTGGTCAATTCCAGTAAGTGTCTTTTATTCTCCTTCTCCTTTGATTCTTCAATGATTTTCGTATTCTAGGGTGCATTGTGGACAAGCATTTTGCGGGGTAAACCAACAATTACTGTCTCAGACACCTCAAACAGTGAGAAAACAGAATAATTCTTCATTCATTCTATACCTAACATTCCAGCCAAGTGTAAAAGTGTTATGCCTTTTTTGCAGTTAAGGACGATTTTTTTCAAATATGATATTGTCAGACGATTAAAAATTTCAATAAAATAAATTTTTCAAAAACGGAACGATCTTTCCTTTGGTATAACGCACGTGATGACTGCAAAACTTGGTTTGCTTCTTTCTCATTCAAAGAAGAAATCATATCGAGACCGATCATGCAGACCTTTTTTTCTTATTCGATTGAATCAAAAACTCTAGAATCAGTTTACTTTCTGGTATTTGATAGTTATAATTGGCGTTTCCCATTTCTTTTTCGAGAGTTTTTCAATCAAAACCTACGGTAAGTAACAAAATTTTGAAATTGATCCACCTGTACGATATGACTTTGTTTGTCTCCCCATTAAGAATCCAGCTGCCTAGAGAGCTGTCCTACTCATTATTGTGTAGACCATAGTCATACGCTATATGTACATATTTTTAGTTCTTAACTTTGTTTCGCTCCTGTTCTATTAGAAAATATTCAACAAATCATGTATTTGAACACCTACTGGCCCAGAAACAATCCTTTTTATCTTAAAAACAAAAAGAAAAAAATACTCTTACTAATTCTTGTTTAGGGTAAATGTCGAAAAGGTTGAACAAATTAAGACTAACGAGGGAACTACTGCCAACTGAATCCAGCACTTTTGACTCCCTAGACCTTGATGAGACTAAGAAAAACCTAAAACTGTTCGTGCCCGTGGCCTTCCGCTTCTGAGATATGATCCACTTTTTGTCCAAAACAGCGATTTCTTCGCTTTTTGAAAATGTCTTTTCTCTGTTATCGTAACGAATTAAGCGGTGATATTTTTCATGCAGCTGGCCCCACTGATTCTCTACCTGCTCCAAAAATTTCAAATGAATAGCTAGTTTGGAATTCAATAGGTCGAATTTATAATTGTGTAAGGCATGTAGATGTGTATTTTCCTTGGAAAGAGAGGAAGAGTCATTTTTCCTGTTCGACTACGTGTCCGCTCGAAGATGGCAGAGAGGAAAAGTTCATGTATGCAGTACCCTTTTCTTATTCGCCCATCTCATTTCGAAAAACAATCGAAGCAACTAATATTGCAGCCATACTGACTGAGCGGATGTCAAAAGCGAAACCTACGGGAGATGTTCAAGTTCAAGAGCTCGTGAGCATCTCTTCGAAACTATTCAGAATTTCCTGCGTCGTTATTCGAAATTAACGATAAATCTACGCTGGATCATGCGCATTCATTCAATGATTTACCCGAAGATGAATGTCAAGAAAGCGAAGTTGATGAACAAATGGAATCAGAGGAAGAAACGGAAGAAAATGACGAACGGCTCTTGCACAAGTTCTCCCTTGAGTTTATGGAAAAGGTGCTCGACTGCTACGATAAAGTTGACGAACACGGGAAGCGAAAACGCAGATGAGATATACGTTTTTTTCACATACTGTGGTCTGAAAGTTGCGTCATTCATTTGTACATAAGAGGTAGTAAAGGCTTAGGTCTCCAACAACTGGAACTTCGATATCTTAGCGATATCTAAAACGTGTATATATGGTCAACGGTACGTGCCTGTATCCGAGCAGTCATTCTGGGAAACTCGAAATGCCATGGAATATAGGTAACCGATTACGCTGAGCATAGTGGCAACATTTGTTTTTGTGTAGAAATGAATATAACTTCGCCAGAGGCATTTTTGTGAAAAACCGTTTGTTCGCCTGTTACTAGCAAAAATTAAAATCTTTATATCTCGACGAATCTCATGCTGACTCAAGGAACCTTTAGGAAAGACCTAAAAGATGCCATATATTGTTGATCACGCCAAAAAAGTGTTCCAGCAGAACACTGATGCGTTCAGGTTTTTCAGAAGGTTTCTGGAAATCTTAAACTAATGCCCGGCTGAAATTCGCCTTTTCCGTCTTCGATTATACTTTATGAGCTGTCCTGAGCGTTTCCTCAAGTTTCCAAGTGTTGAGCTTTTCTGTAACGAAAAAGTGGTTGTAAAACGAAATTTATTTAGTTTAAATAAATCGAATTTAAAATATCAAAAGATCAGTTTTGCTTAAAATGTGAAGTCTCACAAAATAAAAATGGCAACCCTTAGTAGACGTATGCAACTATTCAAATGGTTATCAGTCATGTTTCACTTCCACTAGGATCAGCTATTTTCTAAAACCAAGGTTACCTTTATTTTCTAGGGTTTATTTAAAGTTTATCAATTGCCTGAAGATTCAAATAAACCTTTACCAAAACATGTGATGGAAAATTTACCGAATACTAATCCTGAAGAGTGTATCGTTGTACACAAGAACTTTATCTTTTTCACTCGGAAACTGTGACCTCTTCACAAGAACGTTTCACTGAGGAAGTCTAGTATTTTCCACGACATTTGACCTGGACCTGACCCGGAACATTCTGTCTCTGGTAGTAGTTACTGATCAAGTACTGCCCTTGCCGTATACAAGCCAAACTGAGACACTTTTACAAATTTCTATTGTTTTCATCTTGTTAGAGAGGATCAATACTTAATGTGCGACAACTGCCCTTGTTGTATACAAGCGAGACTCAGAAATTATTACAAGTTTCTATTGTTTTGATGTTGTTAGACAGTATCATTAGTTAATGAACGACAACTGCACTTGCCATATACTAGACGAACTGAGAAATTATTACACGTTTCTATTGTTTTCATGTTGCTAAACAGTATCAGTACTTACTGTGCAACAACTGCCCTTGCCGCATACGATCCAAACTGAGAAACTATTTATAAGTTTGTATTGTTTTCATAGTGCTCCACAGTGTCAGTACTTACTGAGCAACAACTGAACTACGGATCTAACAACACGGTCTAATTTAAGCAATTGATGTTTTAAGAACCTGATGTTCTAACAAATTGATGTTTCACAACAACCTTTTCACTGAGAAACTGCGTGTTTCTTCAGAAAAACCGGATCTTATTCACTCAGAAACTGTAGGTATAGTTCCACGAACGTTTTACTAACAGACCGGGTTGCATCAGAAGAACTTCTCTTTCAACTCAAAACTCGATGTTTCTTCCGAAAAGCTTAGTCGATACAAACTTTTCATTGAGAAACTCCATGTTTCTGCACAAGAACTGGATCTTTTTCACGCAGAAACTGTCGGTTTCTTCACGAGAACTTTTCACTGAGAAATTCGATGTTTTTCAACAGGAACTTTTCAGTGAGGTACTGGATGTTTCTTCACAAGAACTTTATCTTTTTCACTCGAAAACTGTGATCTCTTCACGAACGTTTCGTTTCACTGAGGAACTCTAGCATTTTCCACAAGAACATCTTTTTTGCTTAGTAACTCCATGTTTCTTCGCAAACTGTTGTTTGTGTTCTCCGCGAAAGCCGTAGAAGAAGTTGAACTTTTAAAGTGAGAAACTCGATTATTTTTAAGAACTTGATGTGTTAAGAAACTGATGTTTTATGAAACTGATGTTCTAAGAAATTGATGTTTAACTGCAACTTTAACTGTTTTCTGAGAAACTACAGGTTTCTTCCGAATCTTTTCCAGAAGAACTTTTTCAGTCAGAAATTGTGGGACTCTTTACAAGAATTCAAGGCATTTTCACAGGAACTTGACCTTTTTCACTGAGAAACTGTAGGTTTCTGGGCAAGCTGTTTTCTACTAAGCAACTCGAGGTTTTTGCACAGGAACTTTTCTCTCAACAAGGACCGAAGTCTACTCAAGAGCTTCCCACTGAGATACTCCAGGTTTTTTCTTCATCCTTGTTCCGGAGATTATTTTATCTGAGTTGAGCTTTTTGGCAAGAACTTGATCCTTTTCGCTTTTCTCGTGGGAGTGTTTCTTCGCAAGAAATCTACTGAGTAACTGGAGTTGTTTCCACAGAAATTTGATCTTTTCACTGAGAAACTGTTGGTTTCTTCACGAGAAAGGGATCTTTTTTATTGACGAAAACTCGAGCTTTTTTCACCGGAATTGCGAAAGCGAGCTTTGGTCTTGCGAAAAGCGCCAATTTCATCTTTTTTCCAGGAAAAATCCAGATTTCTTCGGAAGAACTTGATTTTTGTCAATGAGATACAAAATGTACTTTTTAACTGAGAAACGGCTTTTTTCTTTTCAAAAGACTGACTATTTTCTATGAGAAACTCGAGGCTTCCTCACAAGAACTTGATCTTTCTCACTCAGATACTCGATGTGTGCTTCACGAGAACTTGACCTTTTTTTAGTGAGAAACTTCACGTTTCTTCAGACTCTTTTCCCGAAGAACTTTTTGAGTCAAAAACTGTGAACTCTTGACTGTAGGTTTCCTCAGAAGAATTTGATCTTTTCCACTGACCAACTATCGGTTTCCGGGCAAGGTCTGTTTTACTAAGTAACTCGAGCTTTTTCACACGAACTTTTTGCTCAACAACTGCCGAAGTCTGCTCAAGAACTTTTCACTGAGAAACTCGATCATTTTTCATAAGAACTCGACCCTTTTCGCTGAGAAACTCGATGTTTCTTCGCAGGAACTCTAGTAACTGAGTAACTGTAGTTCTTGTCACAGGAACTTGATCTTTTTCAGTGAGAAACCGTTGGTTTCTTAACGAGAAACGGATCCTTTCTATTGAGAAACTCGAGCCTTTTTCACCGCACTTGCGAAGCGAGGTTTCCTCACAACAATTTCATCTCTTTTCCTGGGAAACTCGAGGTATCTTCGGAAGACCTTGATCTTTCTCACTGCGATACCCGATGTACTTTTCTACTGAGAAACGGCATTTGTTTTTTCAAAAGGCTGATTATTTTCTATGAGAAACTCGAGGTTTCCCCACATGAACTTGATCTTTGTCAGTCAGAAACTGTAGGTTTTGGTACAAGAACCTCTTCGATGAAGAGAAGTTCGATGCTTTTTCACAGGAACATTTTTTACTTCACGGAGAAAAAACCCCGTGAAACTCTTGACGGTTTTTATACGCGGTTTCTCGCGGTCAGTTTGGCACGGTTTTTTTTCACGGTTTTAGTTGTTCATGCTTTTGTTTCCTATGGTTCCAATATGACAGTTTTGCTTTGACGGTTTAAAACCGTTCGAAAAACCGTCCAGGTAAAATTGTGCAAGTAAAACCGTCTACTTTGAAAGAGAAGAAAAAAAGGCAGCTCCTCCAGAAATCGAACCTCAATCGCTTGAGCTCCCCCCCCCGGACACACTGCCTAACCACATACTAGCCACGAGGACGGGTGGATGTCACAC